GGTTGAGATACTGACAAACTAAGAAAAATTTGTTTTTTGGAATGTAAGGGCATATATTAATCCATCAAAATTTCTTTTTTAAATTCCTGTGTGACATATTTTTAGGGGCTCTGTTTTAATATTATTGAATATCCACATTACAATGGTAAACATGAGGCAGAAATAGATTACCTGTATATCTGAGCCCCTCAGCCGTCTTACGGGATGCCTCTCAGGTGTGCATTGTTGTACCTCTTGACTTACCAAAACTCTCTTCCTTTAATCATTGAGCTTTACCAGAAACTTCTTTCAAGCAAAAATATTTCTCTTCTTTCAAAAATATTAGGTACTTTACTACTAACATTGTCCTAGCCAAAAGAGTAGGATCTGAATGAAAAATTAATTCTAGCTTCACATTAGAATAACTATAGAGTTAAATGCCCTGGTAAGAACTAACCTGGGGCATCCAGGAAGTTTTTTTATTAGACAGTGATTCATTTCACCCCATGATATTTTGAAATAGCCATGCCCTAAAGGTGACAGAAAGTGAAAAGAGAGGAACTAATGGTAGTACCAAGTTTGCTAGAGACAGGCCTAAATTCATAGATAAAAGGTCAAGTTAACTTTACCTGTTTTTCTGTTCTACTGAGATGATTAACTTGACTACAATATTCAAGTAGTAGTAGTAATAGAGATTTAGCAAACTAATATTTTTACTGTTCTTTAACTTAGAACTACAGAACAACCTACACAGGTTATTCTGTAATTTGTACTTCCATTTCTATGAAGAATCAAAATACTATCAAGAACCCATGAAAGAAATGAATTCTTATGTTGATCCAGTGAGCATTCTCCCTAGAGGTTTACCATTGGTCTACAGTATTAGAAGCATGACTTATGTTTAGCAATTAAACATAGTAAATTAAATTCAGCTCTGATAATTACNTGCTAGAGACAGGCCTAAATTCATAGATAAAAGGTCAAGTTAACTTTACCTGTTTTTCTGTCCTACTGAGATGATTAACTTGACTACAATATTCAAGTAGTAGTAGTAATAGAGGTTTAGCAAACTAATATTTTTACTGTTCTTTAACTTAGAACTACAGAACAACCTACACAGATTATTCTGTAATTTGTACTTCCGTTTCTATGAAGAATCAAAATACTATCAAGAACCCATGAAAGAAATGAATTCTTATGTTGATCCAGTGAGCATTCTCCCTAGAGGTCTACCATTGGTCTACAGTATCAGAAGCATGACTTATGTTTAGCAATTAAACATAGTAAATTAAATTCAGCTCTGATAATTACATAACACATGCAAATGCTTTCTCCTCATAAATGATTACACAAACTTCATTATCTGATTGTCTTTGTTTTTGTCATTCTTTCTAATATTTGTTAATCCTTAACCTAATCCAACTCTTCAGTCTTGAGTTCCTATTCATTCTTATCATCATTTGAAGTAACTTTTGCTTCTATCAAGCAATTGTTAATTTCTATTGTTTTCTGGATTTGTTTTTGTACTTTTTTGTTGTATTGGTAGTTTTCAACCTGTATTTATTTTTAATTATCTTTCACTGTTAATTAACAGTACTTGGCTGACCATCTTGTCTGAGAATACAAGTGAACATATCAATAGATCTGTTTGCTGTTCCCAAAACAATTCTGTGCATTGCTACACATTCTCTTGAACCACCCTCCTGNTGTTTGCTGTTCCCAAAACAATTCTGTGCATTGCTACACATTCTCTTGAACCACCC